CATTTGATCTGTGATTATTTTAGTTGTGAGACACCTGCAGAAACATAAAGGCCCAGCCAGAGAACTTGTAAAACAAATCTTGCTGAAAACTCCGCTGACTCCACAGTGTGCACCTGGGAACCTTGCTCCTGGACACAGGCTGCTGCAGATGGAGTTTGCAGGAAGAATAGAGCCTGCCCTTGCCTGCAGCTTTGTCACTTCTTGGCCAGCAAAAGCCAATTCTATTGGAGTCTATTACAACGATTACCCAACGCACTAATTCACTGAAGCCCTGTTTCTGTCCAGATACAGCAGCACTCAAAAATGCACAGGGCACCCAGCATGGTGCAATCACACTGTGAGAGTCAGACTGTTCCACAGAGCTTCACATAAAGAATGGGCAGGGTTGGTACTTTACAATATAAAAGCAGAATGGAAAATCTCCGGAGACTATAAAATCAACATGATTCATTTTCATATACGCTTCTCTGAACCAGCTAAGAGAAACTACTCTTCACCTAGTTAAGAAATGAGCACCTTCAAAAGGCAGCTCAGACTTTTTAAGATGGAATCCTGATCCACATCAACTTCTGAGAACTGGATGATTATGATGGCAGTGGGAGTCTAGGCGAGTTACGTCCATTTATCGAGGCAAGACTTAATGGAGTCATCAAAGGACTAACAACACCCTGCATCGTTTGAGTCTTTGGTCTTTGCTGGAACCACAGCTTTCTTCTTTCTTACCAAAACAAAAAGCCGTCAGCCAAGCAGCTCCTCTGTAAAAGAAATCTAATCAACGGTCTGTTACCTTTTTCCAGTACCACAAGTGGCTTTCAGCAGAGGTCACCTGCATGCGTGGAAGAGTAGAATTCAAATTATCAAGAATCATGCTAAGTATTCATTTTATAAAACACAGTAATAGCAAACAAAAAACTTTCAGTAGAATCCTCCCCAGTTGCCATTTGCCATTGTTCAGTCCAACGAAGACTACAAATTCTGTTTTCATAAGCTCAAGCAGGTGAAGGTAAAAAGGAACAAAAGCAGACATTGTACATGGCTCTCAGCAATTCATCTGCAGTATGTATCACTACCTATATTTAGCTGTTGTGAGGCACCAAAAAAAAAAAAAAAAAGAAAAAAAAAGCATGACTGGCAGAAAGGCATGGTAAGGTGTACATAGCAGGAAACAAGGCACTTAGAAAGACAACAAAGACAATATGGAAAGTCAAAATGAAAGAAAAGTACAACAAAAAATCGAAGTTCTGTCAGAGAACTGCTTTTAAAGATCCCCTTTGTATACCTTGATTTAACTGCCATCCCAACTTGTGATGGATGCTCTAGATGGAAGAACTAGTTGCAGTGGGGCATGGTGGGATCTTTAAAGCACAAACCAAAGTCCTGCATGTTTCAAGCACAGTCACTCAGGGTTTTCTCTGTTCCTTATGTCTCATATTCCATAAAACAATACCTTCAGCGTCCCTTCATTCCTATGGGTGGTATGGCGTATTGTCTTAACAAGTGTTTTATTTCTCAAATGCTGGTGATTCGTAAGTACAAGAATTATGACAAATGTCTGCTATGAAAAACCCCGCTAACAAGATTGTCCTCTACCAGCAAGCTGAAGCTTAGTGTCAAACTTCTGAGAAGCTATGAACACATCTGAAAAATTTGTAAGCATTAAAATCTTGTTACATCTTTTGTCATATCTTTCAGGCATATTATTTGAACGTCAGCACTCATATAAGACCTCACACTGTTCTTCAAAGGCAGGCACCCATTTAAATTGCATTGAATTCAAAGGCTGAAATGCCTCAATTCTTTCTTGGACTGTGGGACTGTTTCATTGGCTTGGTTGGAAATTCAGGACCATTAGCAGGTGTGTTCTCAGCACCCGTGAGGACAAGGGTCATAGTCTGTACAATCCACATTTATTCCCCCTGAAGACATGGACAAAGCTGCCAGAACACCTATTAAAATGCTGAGATGAGCTTGGAAGATGATCCTCTCATTGGACCCTCTCTCATGGACTCCTCACTGTACCCATGCAAGCCTTCTCCCATAGTTTTTATCCTTCTACAGCCATCTGTGACTGCTTGAACTATTTTTAATGATGTACACACAGAAGACCGAGATACAGGCTGCCTGCCGAAAAAAACCTCAAAGCTCTTTTCATGTATTGCACTACTGCTGGGTACACTGCTACTGAGAATATGTAGAGATCACACCAAATTGGTTTCCAGAAAGACACTGGGCTGCTCTTTTCTCTTAGTTACACAGTTGAAATTCAGAGGAATTCCACTTTCTTCAGATTTGCATGGGAATAACACAGAACAGGCAGAAATTCTACAACAGCACAGAGAAACAAAACTAAGCTTGAATGTACGGCTGCATACATTCAGTTGTTTACAAGTGGTAATTGTTGAGGCAGCAGAAAGTTTTAAGTCTTGCTAAGGAAAACCAGTTTCAGTGTCATGAATCATCTCTGGCAAAAGAAACTTCGAAAAAAGCTTTGAAGTGTTTGCAGTGAGAGACGCAAAGAAAATGACCGAGCACCTGCAGGAAATCATGCTGCATGAGGAGCCAATTGCTTGTTTCAAAAAGGGTCACCATGAAAGCTGTGCTAGGAACTAAAAGCTTTGCAAGAAATGGTACATATTTATTCCCAAATTGGTCACAGTAACCAAGAGCCATATCCTCAGCTGGAAACTGGTAAAATGACGTTGGCTTGCATGAAATTCACACAAGGAGTTGCATTCATCTAAGTATGGGACTAACCTAAAAGAACAGCTGCTCAGCAGTTAAAAGAAAACATAAGCAGGGCGTTAGCACATTTCAAAACAACCCAGGCAAGCCAAGCATTTGGTCTCCTTTTTGTTCCTTTTTACCTGACCATGAAAATCATTTCTGTAAGATAGCTTATAAAGTCTTGTCATGTCCTTTCCATTCTTAACAGCTATTTCTTCTGAAGAGAACCCACTCTTGGGAAAAGGTATCATTTCTCCCCCATAGCAACGATGGGGTACTCCACACAAAGAAGCACCTAGCAGTTTAGTTCACATTTTTTAATAACATGGCACAATTTACATTACACAAGTCTTCGCTGATGAGGAAACATGCTGAAGATTGAGAGCTGCTTCACTTTTCTTTTCACATAAGATCTAGAAAGGACTTTATTACATACAGGATAAACAGCAAAAAGGTTGGTATATAACAATCTCTTTACAATACTGAAAGCTACCGCTACGGTTCCAGTGTACATATTCTTCAGGGTTGTTTTTTTTTTTTTCTTTGTTTTGTATTTTTCCTTCTGTTTTTAAAAAAAAAACAAAACCAAAAACCAAAAAACCAAAAACCAAAACCAAAAATTGAAAATAAAAGGGAAAAAAGAAAAAAAACGGAAAAAGAACACTGCACAACATCTGGAGTTCACAAAATCTGAAGCTCACAACTAAACCTTCAGTTGACTACTAAAATAGATCTCTGATCATTAGAAACAACTGTCTGTAGTTACCTTTTTTCTTTTTTTTTTTTTTTTTTTTTTTTTTTTTTTAATTTTTTTTTGCCAAAACAGGATAACAACTTCAGATAGCACTTTAATACACTAGAAGACCAATGGAACTAATTTTATTTCATACATATATTTTACAGTCCAGTAGACAAGATAGTGAATTCTCTCTGATAAAGTCATATTCTCTCCAAATATTTAGATAAGAAACTTAATGCGTTATAAAAAAGTGTGTTATGAAAAGACAGATTTCAGAAGAATGATGCATTTTGTTAAAAAGGACCACGTTCTTCATGTGAATTCACGTCTTCTGTGATTAGGGAACAACAAGGCTGACCTGTTAACTATTCACAGACTTTATTACCAACTGAAATACAACAAATTGCATTATGAAATCTGCAGCGGAGTTCATTAATTAAACTACTGATCCACAGTGAAAACATATCCATCATTTTTCTAGAAAAGTATTGGCTTTCTTGTAGGATTTGTTTCAGTGTAGCTAAACATCACTTATTAAAAAAAAAGTGTGCGTACAGAGAAAAATGACACACAGACATGAATGGTTGTTAGCAAAGGTTCTTCCAAAAATAAATCTGACGTGTTAAGGGACAAAAGTTCTCGAAAACAGCCAGCATTTGATTATTACTCGGTTCCACCCAGGTTAATGTGACTGAAAACCTATTTGCCATGACAGTATCAGTGATTATAGACTGCTAACCTGACGCGTGCTGAGGAATACACGAGGTACAGTAACATCAGCATCTTGATGCAGGGGTTCAGACAGAAAACTACACTTCTAGTGGGCTGTTTCTTCATCAAAACAAGCAGGAGAAACAGGTTTCAGGTACAGATGAGCTTGTTCAGGGAAAATATGACTTTAAGTATGTTGTGTGTTGAAAAGGCTCCTTTGAGTTATAAAGGCTTTTGTGAAAAGCCTTAAAATTAATTGCATAGTTGAAGGGGTTTAGCTGTCTATAACAATATATGTAACACAGCATAAGCAGTCTGTGTTGATCAATATTAAGTTTGCAAATAGCACAGTTTAAGAAGTATTAATGTATTATGTTACTTAATTTTATCTATTTACATTTGTACAAAGTAAAGCTTTCATCTTACCCTTTTTGCATATATGAACCATTAACCCATGAAGCACTCTTTTTACATAAATATCTACAAATGTCTTCACTTCTGGTCTGAAAGAGCTTTGTACGGTTGTCATTGGTGGTGGCTTGTTTCTAGGCAAATCATTCAGATTAATGTCTTGTTCTTCAGTTCAAATTTTGAAACTTTTAAACTAGAAATAAAATAGAGTAGGAGACACGAGGAACGTATGGACTTAGCTAAAAGATCTGGAAAATTTCAACATATAATATACAAAAAAAACATTTCAAAATCTTTGCACTCAGGTCTATACATATTGTACAGTGGGTCACATTCCCAGTCTGTATCAATAGACTAGTAAGAAGGTCTTTATATTTATGTTCATTTACAATGTTCTGTCCCAATCTCTCCGCTTTTTAGTCTCGCTCTGCTTATCGAGCTTCGATGTCCTTGAGGGTGTGAGAAGGAGGCCTCTCTCTCATCTCTGCTGACAGAGGAGTAGTCCTTCTCGGAGACCCAGGCCGAGGCCCCAGCGTAGAAATAAGTGGTGGAGGGGCACTGAGAGCTGCTGTGGGGGGAGTTTTATTGAGGATACCGTTTTGGTGTCCTGTCGGGGGACTGACTCTGGGGTAGTGCATGCTAGGAAGTCCTGGTGTGATGAGGCTCGGGTGAGGCAGGTGTCCATCCAAGGCGGCCGGGTGAACTGAGTGCAGGCGTGCATGTTCGTAGTCCTCTCTGAGCATGTGCAACCGCTCCCTGTCATCCAAGTGGTTGCCCCGCTCATGCTCACGTCGAGGGTCAACGGAGAGAGGGTGGTGGTGATGGTGGTGGTGATTGTAGTCGTGAGGTTCCCGATCCCTGAACGATCTGTCGGCTTCATATAACCTTGGCGTAGAAAGACGGTGAAGGGGGTCATTTCTTAGCAAAAAGTCTCTGCCCAGGGGGTCTCTCCGATGAATATCTAGTTCTCTGTAAGGATCTCTCAAGGGATCTCTCATTGGATCCCAGTGGAAAGAAGGATAGGGGAAGCGTTCTCCACCAGGAATTGGGCTAATGCCCATAAACGGGGTCATCATGCGAGTCCTATCCAGGCCACTGATGCTGTTAATGTGATGTATCCCAGTTACACCCACCGTCATGGGCATAGACACTAAAGGACTTGGATGGACATTAGATGTAGATATAGGCGGTGGCTGATCAGACGACCTGTGAGTCTGAGGTCCCTCATGTTGAGCATCGTGGTCTTCCTTTCGCTCCTCCTTCACTTTGACTTCATTGCTTTTCTTCGGATTATCGTACGCTGGCTCATTCTTCCTCTCAGCCTCACGGTTTGAAGTACTGTTAGGCCTGCTGCTTTCCACAACAGGTGGCCTAGCATAGGGTGAAGGAACCCTGGACATTTGCTTCGACTCTTCCACCACCCGGCTTTCATGGCTCAGGCTTTCTTTCTCTGAAATATAGCTGTCCTTCACCTTGTGCTCTTCAACATTAATTTCCTTCCGAGATTCGGAGTGATCCCTCTCTCGCTCTTTGGGTTTCTCTTTTTCTCGAACCTCAGGATTCAGATGGCTCCTGATCTGCTCACTGGAGCTGCGATTATGTCCGAGGGAGTTTACTGGATGGATAGGTGCTGGCGAAGGATGGCTGGAGTGTCTTTTCTCAATGCTCTCTCTAGGAAGAAAGAGAAGTGTAAAAATTAAAGCACAAGAAACTCTCAAAAATAAAACAAAGCCTTGAGGATGTCTGACTATACTTGTTGATTTGCAGAAGGCTAATAACAAGCACCATTTAATGCAATGCTTCTTTTACACATTCAGAACACCAGAAGAGCATCCCATCTCTACACTAGGTCTGTTCTGTTATCTCAGTGCAGGAGAAGATCCCTGAAGTAGCTGCTTTGTGAGTGATCTGACTGAAACTTCAGTGAAGTCCACACATGGATCACAAGGAAGCTAGCTCTAGAAAAGATATTTCTAGGATCACAGCCTTAACTGTTTGCAAAAAGGAGAGAGAGTAACAAAAACATACTAATTTCATGCAAAAAAAAGTGGAGGCAATTACATCTACCCGGGTAACAGGATTTTACCCACTGCTTCTGTTAAGAATGAATTTGGGAAAATAGCCAATATTTTGTTCAACTGACTTCCAGAGAAGCGTCCGTGCCTCTCTACATTACAAGTTTCTTATCTGTATTGCCTTCATCCTTCCAGATTTTCAGTTTACTTCTCACAATTTAATTTCTTTCTCAAACCTGAAGATTAAAGCTTCACAAGACACCAGTACTGTGGAGACAATCACCTCCAAAAAGACAGGCACCTCGAAAAAAGCCCCAGTGCAGGTCTTTTAATAGAGCTGGCCATCATCTATAGATTATACACTGACTTCTTCAGCAGTGATGCCCATCATTCAAACTAGCTCTCAAAGCAACGCCTCTCTGGAGTTTTTGTTTTCTGTTGTTTTTAAGACTACCAGTCCTTCCCCATTTCTATAGTAGAGTGAGCACAGCGCAGGCTGCCGACTTATCTCCCTGGTACTGGCCAGGAAGCCTTCAAAACACTGCAAGTTCTTTCCATCTCTGAAACCTATTTATGTTGCATACAAGATTTAGAATTATTTAGAAAATAATCGTTTGGCAGCAGATAACAAAAGACATATCTGAATGGATCCTGTCCCAGCTACTTTCTGAAAGCAGAGCTGACCAAGTGGAGTAGCCTTCCTATTTAGATTGAATCAAATTTGAAAGGTAAAATGAATTCCTCAGTTCCAATGTTTTTCAGGTCTCACTAACTGCTACTGATTTCAGAGCTGCAGTTTCTCCATGAAGACAGCTCCAGATATTCGGTGTTGGGCAAATGCTGTTTGCTAGGTAAGGGAATTCTGTTCCATCAGAGTGATGGACAGCATGCTGTCAAAGGCAAAAGTGAGGGGTGAGCAGCAGGGTCCTCTGCAGTCCCTGAACAGCTCCAGTTTACATTCTTCTCTGGGTACCTCTAAGCTGTAGGTACTTCTGGTTTGTGAAACTGCAGCAACTGCTTAAAAATATCTTTGAAAAAGGAAACTGTCATTACTGAGACCTCACCAGAAGAATCTTCTGCTGTATCGAAATTGTCAGTTTATGGGCTATGTCTAAAAAAAGTGTAAGAGTCCAGAATGCAACTGTTAAGTGCTGGAGCATTTGATACCAGAGCTGCTTTGTCTGCACGCACTACTAATTAACTCCTGGGTAGCGGGTTCTGCTTTGACTGACTGTGCCCTAAACACTCCCAACACTGTGTCCTGCCTCTACTTTCCCTTCCTCCTGCTCTCCACAAAACATTTAAGTCTTTCAAACAACTTCCAGATGTGGACACAGTGAGACCAAGTCATAAAAACTTGACTGCAGGGCATTCTTAATTGTTTTGTTTCGCTAGGGGGAGCTGACTGAGTCCTTTCATTGATATTTAATCAATTTTTCTGTGTAATTTACATATTTTAAATTGTTTGTAAAATCGGAACAAAATAATGGACATTTTCTGTAATTAAAGAATGTGTATGTGCAATCCAAATAACATTTTCCTTTGCCAATTTCATCCTCTTCAGTTACACTGATGGCATTACCTCAAGACTACTGATTACTTAGGTAATCATTCACTTATGTAAATGGTTGCCCATTGGTCAGGGAAGGAGTAATTTTTTTATCCTCAAGTCTATCAAGGGCTCCTTAGATTAATAACAGGAGAAGAGCTCTAAGCCTCAGTCTCCCCAAAAAAGAAACTTAAGATCATGTTCTCAAATGAACTTATGACTAAATAAGGTATGCTTTGAGGCTGTATGCTCTACTGACAGATAATGCGCAAGGCATCTCACGCCAATTACTTTGCTTCGTTTATGTTGACAGAGAGAACAATAGATAATTGTATTCTTTCTAAAGTTCCAGGATTACGAACACATCGATGTCCTCATTAGAACGGAATTGCTCAGTGACATCTTTTAAATTAAATAACACAGCGAAGGAACAAATTCTGTTTTGCACAACAGCTGTATTCACTGATTTTTTTTTCTAATGCTGGAGTGCAGTAATAAGAGTCCTGAACAACAACAAGAAGTTGCATGCAGTCTTCCAGGAGGAAGCAAGAACTGTAACAGGACGTGGCAGTGCAGCTCCCCAGCCAGCTCTGCACCTGGGAGAACTTCACAGACTGCACTTTCACGTTATTTTCCATCTTAAACTCCTCAGGGATCTATCCTATCTCACTGCAGCCAGGGAAGGGCTGCAGCACTCTGGCCATATACGTTATCCTAAAAGAGCAACGAGCGATTTGCTGCAACTCATTTCGACAGCCATCTGAAATGAGGAGAAGGAGAGCTCAGAGGAACCTGCGAGGGACCTTCCACTGCTAAGTCTAGATGAGTGCTTTTGTCTAGTGGCCCGTGCGGCGGCAGATAAAGCTCAGGGCAATTTTGATGACGGGACAATTCTGAGATGAAATTATACCGGCACTCTGGGCACGATTCCCCATTCTGTCTGGTCAAGTCAGCAAAAAATAGGTCACACAGACTGGGACCTCAATCAGAAGGGTGAGGCTACACCCACACCCTGCTGGGTGCCACTGAAGGGCAGGGGAGAGGTATGAGAGGCTCATAAGCTACACCAGACATTATCTACGTAGGGAGAACGTCTCCAGGAAGGAATTCTCTGCATCTTCTCAAACAGGGAACAGTGTGAGCATGCTGCAAAGTAGAACTCTTCAAAATCACACGGATGCATAGTGATACTGGATCAGCAAAACCATTACTGTACTAAACTGGTAGCCGTAATTGTGCAGAAACATGAAGGATGAATGACGTTTACTTTTAAACTCTCAAATCACTGAAAATAAATCATGTTCTGAGCTATGATATGGAGTTCAGGCAATGCTAAAGCTGTTTGCAGGGGATGTATTTCTGAAAGGGATTTTCTTCAGCAGGAACACCTCATAACAAAGCAACAAAACAGCAACTGAAAGAATCACATAATTGTAAAGGCCACCCGTATCATTAGTAACTAAAATGCTTTGCCATTCAAGCCAGTAAAGTTACTCACATGCTTAAGCATTTCGCAGGACAGAATCCCCAATTTCTAACAGAAATTGATTTGGAAGCATTAACACTGGACATGAAAATAATGAAGCTATGCTACCAAACAGAAAATATTCCAAATGGAAAATGTAGGTGACAAGATCTGAAGTTTGACTTGCTCTTCACATTTTACAATAACATAGAAAAGCTCTTCAATGTATTTTTTAGAATATCTAATGTGTTAGCATAACTTCTTTTTGAAAAGGCTGCTAATATTTGGGTTAGTGACAGAGAAGTCAGAAAAGCACATCCCCTAAATATTTTTTTATGTTAAAAAATTAGAAACAAATAGCCATTACGTAGTAATGTGCAAACTTAGCAGGAAAGCCATTAAGCCACAATTGAAAAAGCTGAAATCAGCCTCTCTGTATTTTTCAAGGAAGGCATGACACTTGCTGAATGGCAAATTCTCTTAATTTGGTACTTAAATGTTAAGAGGAATTGTTACGGAGTTAACTGTAGAATGGGAACAGTCCTGACAAAAAAAAAATATGACCAGGTTTTACTTTTCATTAACCCTTCCCAGCCTGGACATGTTAGAGTGCAAGTCCATGTAAAACACTGGAGAAAAACCGTGCTTGAAGGTAAGCAGCAGCAGTGCATGTATGCGTGCTTTCTGCAGGGCAATCCGGGCCAATTTCACAGGTGGCATGCACTGAAGCTCTCTGTGGTACTGGAAAATGCCAGGCTGTTGTATTTCATGGTTGGTGTCATTTTACAACTTTATCAGTGGTTTCTCTCCTCAGGCCATTTTAGGGGGTGGAAGCAGGGTTATTTGTTCTGCATATAGGATCGGATTTACAAAGTTAAGTATTCACAGGTGCAGATACGTGTCTGATGGACTTCATAGCTCTTTTTGCGTCCTGTCAGGCACCTATCCACACACTGAATCTTCAAAAAACCTATAAAAACGTCACCCACAAGGCAAGCATTCTATTCTCACTTGACACCGCCCGAACTCTGCTCCAGCAAAACTCCTTCTGATGAACTGAGGTGCAAGTGAGAAGAGAAACAGACGCAGCAGGAAGCACCCGAGGCAGATCTGCAGCTTCCCTACTGCCTGCGCTGCACCGCAGGCGGGGATGGCGTCAGCTCCCCTGAGGGTCCCTCTTCTGAAGCTCTGGTTTAACAATGTGCCAGGCTGGGAAGGGTTAAAAGCGGAACGGAGCCCCAAGCTTTGAACTAGACAATTCTTGGAAGTGTTCTTTCGTACCTTTCTTTGTCATCTTTACTAACAGATGAGTCTCGTTTATCTACATCTCTATCTCTGTCATGAGCTGCAGCAGATGAACTGCGCTCCAGCTCTCCTGGCTTCAGCCAGGGCGGAGGGGTCGGGAACGAAGGAGGAGTTCGGTGCAGTCGGTTCCAGGGCTCGTGAGGGTTGCTAAAGCTCTGCATACTGGGGCCATCCTTGTGGCCGAACATTGAGTTGGGTGCTGAAATGGTGAAGTGGAAAACAAAAAGGTTTAAGAAAAAGGTATGCTCTAGTGAAGGTACTTACCAAAAAAACTTTTACAGCACTCAGAGTTAAAATGAATACATATTATTGGGAGCTGGAAAAGGAAAGGAAATTAACAGAGATTCATTAGAGGGTCTCATTCCTAAAAATGGGCAGGCATCTGACAGCTGTTTTAATTGGATAGGGAAATGCTGTGGATAAAATTGACAGGGGATGAAAGTAGAAAGATAGAAGTGACAATGATCCTTAGTCCAAATATTTTGGAGACACCAGGAAATGACCATTATACTGAATATAAATAATGGAACTTGTTGCATTTGATCCTGAACCAAAGTAATATAATACGCGACCAAAATCATGCCAGATTTGGAGTATGGTGAAAGAGAGTGACTTTTAAAAGGATGATCTTTTGTGACTGGCCAAATCTAGAGAAATGTTGATGACCCTGGACAAATAAATGCAGGTTAGTGATCTTTTCCAGGCACAAGTCCTGGATTCACTGGTGAGAAAGGAAAAAAGAATGTTCTCATCCACAGCTGGGGGTTACAAATAAGCACTGCACGTTAACTACTTTGACCATGCAACAAAACCACGTGGAATCCCACAAACTCCTCACACTCATGAGTTCTAGATGCAGTTACTTTTTTTAATAAACAATGTAATGGTGACGTTTAGCACTATGCTGAACCCAAACTATGAGGTAACTAAAAGAAAATCATTTACCGGTGACTAAAAATGCTGTTATTTAAAAGAAAAAGTTCGCTTTTCAAATTACCATCCCTTACTGATGCGTGACCTACGCAACTGATAAAATGACAGCAACTAGTCACCATCACTCCACGTCCTGAATTACACGGCAAACAAGAATTCATAAACAAGGAGGTTACTCACTGACTGTTGGGTTGCCGAGTCCCCCGAAGGCATTGCTACCCACTGCAGTGAGACCGCTGAAGGAAGCTGGTCGATTGAAAGGCTCTGCAAACCAACGGAAACAGCTCACTGGTGTGTTGCTCACTGTGAGAAGGCATTACTGTGTTACCCAGCTGTGCTACGCCCGCATGAAAGCTCGGTCTGTGTCCACCAACATCATCCTCTCTGCATCACAGCAGTGATGGTGAGAGGGTGGGAAATACGAACCGATCTTTTCTCCAGTGCAAGGTGTATGGGATCATCTCACAAGAAAAACTTCTACTTCAAAGCAAAACAAGATGTTACACACAGCAGGGAGGCCTGCAATCCAGCAAAAGCAGCAACTCCACTTAAAATCTGCAAACATCTCAATTTTTCTTTCTTTTCATTCCCTTCCAACTCAGTTCGATTGTCCTCAGGAAACAACCCTGTCTAGCAAGGCAATTAGTAAGTCTGGCAACTGTGCTTGCAAAACACCTTCAGGCCATGCCTCAGCCATGTCTCCTACACCACAGGCAGGATATATATGAGATGCCTTACTGTACTGATATGTCCTGCTGACCTCAGCAGCTTGTAATGCTCTTGGTATTTACTGCTAGTACTGTATGGAAAACCAGCATGGACTATGAAAACCATTGGCACTTAATGTACACAGGGTGCAGGTAAGCCAAATGAAGCAAATTCCCTTCTCAATTTCAGAAAAATTTGATGATTTTGATGAAACCATCAGCCCTGAGGAAGGACAAACTGAGCATTTTTTGTAGGCAGCTCAGTACAGAACGATGAAACCACACCATGAATCTGCTGCAGCAGTTTGGTGGTCCTCCTGAATCACTCCCTATGCAAAACAAAATATCAAATTAAATCTCTGATGCTCTTGTGTGCAGCAGGTTGCTTATTACATCACTAAATAAGAAGGAAACTAACATTTGTTGAATGTTGTTTTTTCTCTTGAACGTTTATTTGCTACTTTTTCGCTGCCATTCACATTTAAGATCAGATCACAAGATTTTAAGGATCTGCTTCCCACTCACTGAAATAAAAAGCAGACATCTCAGTAGCAGTTTGGAACAGAAACACCTCTCTGAATCTGAGCCTTAATCTTCAAGTATTTTTTGACTGCTTATAAACACAACTACACTGAATCCTAACCTCCTGCTACTCCTCTAATGCCCAGATGGTTTTTTCTCTCAAGTAATTTAAATGGCGCTGTCAGTTTTACTATTAGGTACATTTAGAACTGCTGCTTGGGTTACAGAAGACAAATGGATAAAATGTACAATTTATGAAGGTTAAACTGGCACATGGACAACCTTTAATGGTCTACACCAAAAGACATGAAGTAAGACCAGTGTGGCACTACTCTGCCACAGTAGCAGAGTAAAAGCAGAGTGCAAAAACTCACAAGCTTGCTACAAATTCAGAGGTGTGACCTCAAGCTTGTGCTAAAGGGTCCATCATGGAGATCCAGCTGTCAACACGGCTATGCTTTGTGGGGCTACAGGTGTGCTTAACTGTTACCTCTGGGGACTGGCTATGGAGGAGCATCTTCTGGGTTTGAAAAAAAGATGGTGGCTGTTCAGACTGCGCTCCATGAAGCTCTAACACAGCCTTTTGGCTAATGACAGAACAACTGAACTAACTCAGTTCAGTGGATATTCGCAGTGTAACAAGCTACAGCAGATCCTGTGAGGGTAGCAGGGGCAGAAAATACCTGTGTGTTATTTCTGAGTTGTATTCACAGTGAGTGGCTTGCACAGAGAGGGCCAAGAACTGCTCACTGCAGTACTGCACTTACCTAAATGAGCAGCTGGGTTGAGAAAGTTGCTGTGATGAGGTGGAGGACCAAAAGGGGTGCCGGCTGGATGAGCCCCACCTGCCAAAACAAAGCAACGCAGTGAATTCCTAGTGATGCTCAGGGAGGGACTTCCTGCGTTCTAGGCTCATTCTTAAACAGCACCTCACATAAGCAGAGATTGCTGTACGCTCAGGTGAGGCTCCTATGCAAACAGCAGCTGCTTTTCTGAACAGAAGTTGTCAGTTACAGAAGGTGGAGGAGAAATGTGTCAGTATGGAAAAAAAAAAAGGGGAACACACAGTAGAGTGTATTTCCAACCTGTCATCTCCATGATGCAGATATCGCTGCGTGAAACGTTTCTCCGTGTATAACCTGCATGGCATTTCATCACATTGCTGTTCTTTTTTCAAAAACCATATGGAATAATTTTAAAATATTTATCAAATAGACTAATCGCCTCTGGCACCTCTTGCAAAGTTCATAAGCCAAAGCATATGGGAAATTTCCTCTCAACATGGCACAGATTAGCATGTTAATGAGCATGCCAAAGAAAGAGTTTGATCCTCAATACTTACTGGCTGTAGAGAAGAGAGTCGAGGGCCGGGCCAGGTCATGGGGGTGGTGGATGGCTCCAAAAAGGCTGGGGCCTGGGGGCCTGCTCAGAAATTCAGGTTTCAGGCCGAAGTCCAGCTTGTGTGGATCTGACTGCATCTGTTTCTGAAATATATTAAAAAAAAAAAAAAAAGAGTTGCAAGAGACCGTCCTAAGAGGCACTTTCAGAATGCTGTGGGTATGGCAATTTATTTGTAACAACTGGTGATTTAACAAAAGATATTCGTTTTTAGGACCCTGGACATAGGAGCAGAGCCAGCCTCGTGACAGCAGGCCAACAACCTCAGGTTCCCAAACGATGCCCAGGGTTCACCAGTGTCTTCACAAACACTTTTACCCCTCTGGAGCAAAGGGTTTTAGCACAGACTTGACTGAACAGAACAAACACTGCAATCTCTGAAGAGGCCTTAAACACATCCTTGGCTGTAAGTACAGGTCTGTCTTTAAAACAACAATAAAAACAAAGTGAAAGAGAGCTGTTAGTTTGGATGTGAGCCCCGGGTGGGCAGGCATGCTGAAAGCAGGGAAAGCACCAAGTGCAAGAGGCAGAGCTGCCAGCTGACCTCCGACTGCAGGGATCACTCATCACAGTGACACACACACCACAAGCATCACACGTTTAACTGTGGAGCTGCAGCCAAGCAACACTTGATGCTGTGCATCTTTCAGTGCCTCTCAAACTGCAATCGAGCAAGACAGGGGCTAAAATGAAGCAAATTACATCTGAGGTGCAGTTGTGTCAGAAGAACTCAAGTCTCATTTTGACAGCCTGCACTCCAAATTCAAAGCACTGCATGTCACTGCCTCTATTTATATGGTATTAGAACGAGCAGATTTTCTTTCTGAAAGTGTCTTTCCCGATGTGGCTGTACTGTAAATGGTAAGTGGATGAAGGACGGGTTCTTCGTTGTGTCATAGACTCACTTTAGTGGTTCCCACTTCAACAGTTTTATAGAATGCAGAGGAAAACCAAATTCCCAATTACCTGTGCTGCCAGAACTCCCTAAATGCAGATTGCTGATTAATTGTGCAGGTCAGCTGAAAGGATTTACCAACGTGTAACACTGAACCAGTAGATCTGAACAGTAATTCAGGAGCACGTTACGCTTAATAAATCAATATTTAATACCGTGCCAGCTCAGAGTACAGACTATTACAATGATATAAATATGCATATTAAAAAGTTACGACCAAGTTAATGTGCATGCCTACTAGCTGTTTTTCAAGTGCTAATAACATGTCTATGAAGCTGTGAGCAGAAAAAAAATGAAACAAAAAAGCAGGTTTATCAATGTTTTGAGATAATAACCTGCAAAACATGGCCATGTTAAGGTCGCGTCTTTCAGATGTCAGACTGCAGTACTTCAGTGATTTAAAAAGACCAGAAAACACAAATGCCTCAACTGAAGGCTGTGTGCCAGATTTCTAGGCTGTGAGCTCTTTTTATTCTTCTTAACAACCAAGTTATAAACTTCTGACAGGCATTACTCAGAACAGCAAATCTGGCAGAAACTTTAATTGCCGCCATATGAGCAGTACTGTTCTAACGACGAAAAAATCCCGTCTGAAGAGGAATGGAACATCACAGCTGTGTTAAAAGACTTCTGAATGTGCTGATTTACCTTAAAAGAATATGGAAGAAAACTGATCAGATTCATTTTACTCCCATTTGCTGCTCCAGAGAGCCCCACTATTGATGATAACCCTTATGAATGTATTTCAGGTCCAGCACCTTACCCCGGGCCTGCTAAACTCAATGCAAATGCCTGCACTAATTTCATGGCACGTTAGATCAAGCTGTAAGTCCTTTCCTAAAAGAGAGCGGGCCAATTAGGGAGCATAAAATCTGCCTGGAATCCAGGCTGACCCCACACTGGTCATCCTGATCCACAGCTAGAACTGCTCTGCTCCCAGGGCTGCTGTCTGGCTCAGGCTGTGTCTTGGCAATCCTCTGGGTGTGCACACAGGTTACACACGTCTGAATGGTGTCTTGCTGCTGCTGAGGTACAGGCAGGCAAACGGCATCTACAGCTACATGCATTCTTTCCTAGGGTTTCCTGCATTTTTGCCTTCATGACTGCAAACCATACCTCATTTTCTGACTGCACTGAGATGGTGAAATGCACTTTCCAATTACTTTTGAAATTATCATCATCCATGCCTCAAAAAAACAAATGCTCTTTCCCGACAGCCTGAGCATTATTATTGTTTTTAAACAGGCAAAGTCAGTAGGTAGAAGAAATGGCTGCATGAAAATGGCATTTACCATGGGTTATAAATATAGCAGTATGACCTCTTTGAATATCAAATCAAAGAAGATTCAAAGGACACAGATAACATGGGAACAATAATTTCATTTCAAGAAAATATCTTTTCAATAAAATAGAAAAAAAAAAAGGAGATATAACTCTCTAGGTCTATAATCTTGTCTTTTTTGATAATGGGAAGATGAATGAAGATCACTAGCAGGGGAAACATAAGGAAGCAGAGAAGAGAGATACATCCACTGCAGCAAATTAACCTGTCAACCTTGTTTAAAAGGGTTATTTTTAAACTCTATTAGCTGTAGATTTTAGTATCTGTTCAACATCTTCATAATCTTACAGCACTACCTTATGTAACACAACTCAGCTGCATACAAAGACTGCACAGTGGTAGGGTCTGCTTGTTCATTTCACTTTCTAGCACAAGCTCCTGACTCCTGCAATGTAAGGCCAAACAAAGACACCAACCTCTCCTGCCTATTAATGCAGTGAACATCTGCAGGAGCAGCACAGCTCTAATGCTCCTTGTGGTTATGCTAACAAGGCATTAGCCATGGTACAGACCTGCTAACAGCAGGAGGCAAATCCTCCCACTCACAAGTTTGCTGTGTGCAATGTATGCGAAAAGCAGGTGCCCAAAGACTGACCTTGACTTTCTGTTGGTGATGGTAAATCTGCCAGGCGATGTGGACGTGCATAGCGCACCACTTCCCCGGTTTCTGGAAAAAACAGGAGGGATACAGCATGAATCAGTGATTTTCCAATACCTGTGATGCTCCACCCTAGGAATGCTCCTGGTCATCCTCCTCTCCAGACAAACCCACGTTCTGTTTTTCTGCACTCCTGCAATCTTCTGATGCCACTGGCTGAGAATGCAGCTTGTGCTGCTGGAATCTGCCTGTTAGCAACTGCTCTGCACAGCTGGATTGCTTCATACAGAACACTGAGTACGTTTCCAAAAGCGCTGCTATTCTAAGACCGGCCTTTCCACCCAAAGATCCCAATAAAAACACATAAAAAATCTCAACATGGTTTTCAAAATCAATCTGACTCCCTCATGTAACCACAGGTCTGTACCTGCAACATTTTGGCTCATCAGTAAACCCCCAAAATTGGACGCCAGTCAGTTCACTCTGGTTGGGAAGGTGAACTGGCTTAAGCTGGCTCTTTGCATCCCTCCTGTCACCATGCTTCTAAATCATGGGGCTGAGAAAGGGAGGAAAGAACCAGAGCGTGATTCGGCTTCTTCATTGATTCAGTAGCCCACCTCTAGGACACCTGGAAATCATGTCAGCAGGGACTTGATAAGGACACACTTTCATTACTTTGTTATTTATGGGTCTGTAGTTAACCACACGAATAATGATTCCTGCACAGATTTAGAAATAATCATAGGAATGAAAGCGGCTCCTTAAGCTACCAGTAACTTAATTACTACACAAACTACGGCACAGGCCTTCTATATCTAGGTGTAGATCAGCCAACAGTTAAAAATCAATTACAAATAAAGTAAAAAAATAAACCCCCTCTCTCTCACACACAAACATAAAGTCAAGTCTTTTGCTTATTCACAGCAATTGGTTGCATTAGTGATTTAATGAGTTTGTGTGGTCTGTACTTCCTCGGGTATGTTGCAAAACCAACAAAAATATCTTTTGAATTATTTTAAGATCAAATCTTTTGGATCCTTATCTCTGAACTATTTTGTGTTTGAACTGGATTGTCTGTGTGTGCTGGACAAGAAGATACTCAGGTAGGAAGTTCCATACTGAATAACACACAAAACATACAACGAACATTAAAAAGCAGAATCCTTCAGCCTGCATTAAAACGGCAAGAGACGTCTGCCAGGGCAGTCTGTAGGATCAGCTCAGGGAACCTTGTGAGCCACAGCAATACAAGGATCATCAACATATAACCTCTGCTGTTTGCAATAAGGGGTTGTGTGAGAACAGGAGAACTTCTCGCTTTAGAACTGCTCATCTTTCTCGAGTGACCACAAGATGCTGACCACACTGTTCAGCAAACACAGTGCGAAATCCCCAAGATGGAACACGTTGCTGCTTTTGATCAGTGTGCTGCTGCAACCCGGCGGGGACTGAGACGAGCTCGACAAAGTGCAGCACGAGAAGGTTTCTTACCCTCAACATGGGCCTGAACGGATCTGTCAACTGTGAAGAAGAAATGACAGCTTGGTTACATGCCTGTCACTCAAACAATTGCTCTAATTAACAAATTTGTATTGCTTCATTAAGAGATGAAATTAAAATGTTATAATTTTACTTTCAAATGAAGTCCTTTCAGATAATAATTAGTCCTCAGCCTCCGTACTGGAGCCGGCCTCCCTCCCCCCACGGCTGTTGTACCTAAGTGTTGACAAGCAACAAAACAAGCCTCACACTGAGCACTCTGTCCTCTGGCATCTGCATTAATTTGTTGATTTAATGCTACCAAAATGGCTGGTTAACTGCTCTGAAGAAGAACACGGCTACGTCCTTTGGGCAAATTTCTGCTCTCATCTTTCAGAGCTGCTTGGCTTGCGAGAAGGCTGGAATTGGGCAGGGCAGAAGGCTCCCACTGAGTGCGCTGCACTGCCCTGCAGGATGCTGCCCTGCTCATTCAGCAGCAATGGCACCTGCTGCTGGCACATCCAGAGAGCCACCTCCTTTAAAAGGAGATCTACAGATGGAGGAGCTGATTTGCAGACTTGGTGATGGCACGTGGCATCATCTTGAAACAATCAAAACTGCACTACAAGCTGAAAGGCAGCATAAAGAGAAGTGACTTAATGATGGGAGGCTCCAGTTATCTTTTTGATTGGGCGGAATGAGCAGACGTAAAAACACGTGGGTCCTTTTGGCATAAAGCTCAACAGCAGCAACCAATTTAGAGCAAACTGGAACTACTAGAACCCAAAGAAAACAGCTCTGCAGAGCTTAAAAGTTGACCAATTCCACAACATTGATTTTTGTCAGAGTTCTGCGAAAAACAGGACTGCATGATGTTCCTCGTTGCAAACAATGTATATGCAATCAAACAAGCAAACAACCCGAGGGCATCTGCAAAGAACAGAAAAAAGCCAGAAGACGCAGCGCCAGACAATAAATGCTGTTCACATGCGCTTCAGCTCAAAATCCAGAGGCACCAAGTGATCAATAAAGTGCATCCACATTTTGCTGCTGCAATCAATAACACAGTAACCAAGGGAATAACTGTCATTACCCACATTAGAAACAATTACAGAATACAAACGTAAATCTCAAAGAGGTTTGAACGTTTCTGCGCTGAATTGGAGTTTGCCCCCAGTCTTGTGGGGATGCCAGCTGACAGCAAGGAAAGAGCTCTGCACTGCACGGCATCTATGTGCTTTAGCCAGCAATGGACAGGAGGATCAGGATTTAAACTGTCCTCATGCAACTCCTCTGATCTCACTGACTTAATAGTTCAGGTTAAGCTTTAGTTTCACACGTTGATTTGGACATACAGAAGATGGCAGCCCTCGTGCTCAACATTTTCACAAGCAATGGCTTTAGTTTAGAAGAATACAGTAACACTTTTTACACACCCGTGGATCTTTCTGTAGGAGGGTATGTGGGACAGTTCCAGGTCTGGCTGCAACATCGATAGGATTGGAAGTCTAGAATTGTAACACAGAAAGAGAGCATTTATGAGCAACAAGCCATACAAAACCACGAACTGAAAAACAGCACTTCTTCATCATTAACACTGCCTAGATCAACTCTTTTAAGCAAAAAGGCTAACTTCTATAATCCTCACAGTGATGTACATACTTATCATCTCAACTTCCAAACTCGCTTTGCTCACTGCCTTCCCACTAGTTGAAGTGAGCTGAAACACATGAGGCAACAGCACTGGGAATTCCTTTCACCTCTGAAAAGCTGAGCAGTATGAGACAGCACCTAAAGCAGCACCTGGGATACCCAGGCTGTGCTCTGCTGCTCATCAATAATGCACTGGATCTGGCCCAAACTGCTGCCCTCACTGCCACACACAAAGCATCAGCAATCCACGTGGCTACCGTGCAAGGATCTGAACTGCATCCACAATGAACTATTACCACACGAGCATCAGAAAAGGCAACATCTAGTTGGAAAAAATTAAAGCTTTTCCCTCGATTTGAATGTAAATATTCGGCTAACACAACAAAATGCATCTTTTGGAGGAAAAAACACTACATTTAGACAACGTCTTCCTCACTTAAAATGAAGAAAAAAGAAATCAGCTGCACTATAACTAACAATTAAGTAACAGAGTTGTTAACAGACTGATTACCATATATATGAAGAATCCTACTAATGAACTGCAATTTACATATTCAGTCATTAGAGTGGATGGGCCAATTTAAGAAAGGTGTCTCCTCTGCAGAAATTTCAGTCCTGATTTCAGTCTTCAGTCATGGAGACTACAGGCTACAGCAAATGATTTCCTCCCACTCATAAATCAAGAGTGACTTCATAGAAACAAAGGAAAAGAGAAACTCATTGCACTTAACTACCATCGCCACCACAAAGGAGTGGGGAACTGAATCCATGTACTGCATGGTGCTGGACCTCTGAGACAATTCTGGCAATGAGAAAACAGTAACGAGCCCTGTTTCTTAAAATCCTGATTACTACACCACCTCACGCTACTGCACGCTACCCTGAGAACTAATCGCAGTGCTTCTGAAGTTAACTGTGCCACTGCATGGAGAACAACCGGTGCATTTGAGTGGTGAGATGGAAACACACCCTACCTTGGGCTGGAATGCTCCTTGGAGTGAGCCAAAGGGGCCCGTCGGAGGGATCATGGGAGGAATACCTGATACAGCTGGAGGATAGGAGTGAAACAGCTGAAACAGAGAAAGAGAGGGAGGCATAAATGCGTGTGAGCTACAAAACAAGGGCAGGCAGCTGAACGAGACAGCAAAAGCATTCCTGCAGAGACAGGGAAATGGTACATGGAGGAGCGCTGGAGATGTGATCCCGCCGCGACAATGTTAGTTAAAGCAGTCAATGGGATGTTCACAAATGTCATGATGTTCACTTCAGAGCTTAAAAGCAGTTCCAAAATCATACAGCCAGCAACCTGGCCTCTGCACTGGGCCATCGCAGCTGAGGCTTTTGTTGTGCAATGACTGGTTTTTAAATTGGATGGGGATTTTGAAGGGTTTGCAGGAGATTTCAAGAGAAAAGGCAGGGCCTGGCCAACAGGGCACAGAACGCTACTGTTTGAGTGGGAAACAAACCTGCACAAGCTCTAGGATATTGCATCATTAAAACCCCATTAGTATGCTAGGATTTTAATGGTTTCTGTCGGAAATGAGGAAAATATGCACAATTCTTACTTCATTAGCCTGTCTGAGAGGATATCCTGCCACTGCCAGCAGCAGCAGAGACAGATGAACTTAATTGCTAAAAAGGATTACTTATTAAAAAAGGCCAAAGTAGAACCCCCCAAAACTGGAGGGCACTGGTCTGATAGGACAGACCATGAGGCATAAAAAGAGGCAAATCTCCACTGATCTCAACGATCCCAGTGTATCTGTACTAAGACAACTCAGCAAAAACAAAGTTCTCCTGCGCTAACACAGACAAACACGTGAGAAACAAGCAAGTAAACCATCATGATCGAATCCTATCTGGTCTCTGTGGTCTGGCTGTGAATCTTTCCCTTGCACTGTAACACAGTCAGGTCACACAATTCCACAGGAACTGCAGAGATCACACACAGAACTGCTTTCTGGTAGGAGGTGGGGATTCAGAGCATCTCACTGCAAAGATGTTCTCACTGGGAAACCTTGGCATCTAGCAGGGGACGGCTGCTAACCTCACTGCTGCCAGCCGAACACCTGAAGGAGTTTCCTGGCTGAAACAATTTCACCTTGAACTCAGCCAATTGAAAATGAACCTCCTGGGTGCTGCTTCTGGGATCAAAATAAAGGACCAGTTGGCCAGCTGAACACAAACAGCCAAAAGCTGGATGTGTGGAGGGGACAAACACTGAGAGAATCACATCCCACAGTAAATCAGCGTCACAAAGTTCTGAACTCAATGGACGTGTGTGCTTTTCTGAACCCTTTCTCTCAAAATCAGAGCTCCCCTTTCAACAGCTTCAATCTTGGAAGGCTGTTTATTCACCCTACAGGCACTGACATATGGGAAATTATTTCAGTATGTCAGAGATATCAAGAGATTGTTTATTTAAAAGCATGGAACGAAGTCTCCTTTCGTAACGCATTTCTGTTGTTGTTTTCACTGCTCTTTAATTTGGACTTGCTCCTCTCAGTGATGCAGAAAAAAACTTCAGACGAGTTGCTGCTGGGCTGTGGGTATTTGAGAAATCATTGCAAGTCATGTCCTCACTGACAGTAACTTTTTAATAACTAAAATGTGGTTTGAATCCTCCAGTGTCTTCTGTATTTAATTCTGTGCTTAATGGACTAATTTCAAAAGATGGAGCGAGGCTTAATATTCTATTATCTACAACTAATAATAAGGAATGCTTTTCTTAGTTTTATAACGACCGCTGAGTTAATTAAATTTGACCTTCCCCTGCTTTCTCTTTTCTAACGTACATCGATTTTAACTCTCTGACAAACATTCCTGCTCTCCTGCAGAGTTCTTTAACAGGGCTTTAACAACACTGCCAGCTTTTTTTGAAGATGCACCTGAACACACAGTGAAGATCTATTGCAGAAACTCACCCCTGAAGAAGGATCTATGGATGTGCCAAAGTTTCAGGTATTTGGAGGAGAGAAAAAGCCCTGGCAGGTACGCACTTATGGCAGCAAAAGGGGCAGGTCAGGAAACTGATGCAAGCAGCTCTGTACCTTCACAACCCACACTCTTCCTAGGAGTGATTACTGAAATGCTCTGGCTAACACGACCTTGCTGTAGCTTTAGCAAGGCTGCTAATCCAGTGAAATTTATTGCCATCATGTTGATCTTTGGCATTAGCTTGCTAAATATCCAACAGACGCCAACTGTGATTACTCTGCAATAACTTCATTAGGACAAACCTTTCCTGAAGGAAAGCAGGGGAAGCTTAATGCACCAGGGCTCTGCTGCTCTGCCTGTGCCAAGGCCAACATCCCGGCACCCAGGCTATCACAGAACCACTGGAAGCTTGACCTTACTTGAACAGAGGTAATACTGAGACCTGCAGGATTCACCATGAGTCTGAACACAATATCCAGCTGAGGACTATTTCACTGTTTCCTACTTTACATATCAACCTTTGTGCTTTCTTTCTCCAAAACTCATTACTTATTTCTCATTATTGCCCTTATTGCCTGAATCAACACGCCACGTTCAGGATAATCTGTCCTTTGAATCCATGTAAAGCTACACAAACAAGAGTGCAGTTTTGCAAACAGTGATGCAAACAGCAGCGTGACCCTTCTGAGTGATTACCCTCGGCTTAAATGTTTGCCTCACACTCCCACAGGTGTGATCCTGCAGGCACTCACACACTGTACGCTTAACCAGGGTGTCAGGAATTAATGGGACTGCTCCCATGGGCTACAGGCATCAGTTATGAGCAGGAACTGCGTTTAATCAGGACAGCAGAAAGCATCACACCATCATCTTAACCAGTCTTCTCGCCCAGTTCCACTTCTAAGCAAAATCAACATATGAAGCCAAATGCTTTGCAAATTTCTGAATGCTGATGCAGTACTCCTTCTCTCATCAAAATATCACTCCTGGATTTAGAAATTCTTGTCCAAATGAATGAAATACCTGCCTTTGTTGGTATGAAGAAGGAAATGTCACCCATCTTTCAGCAGCAAATGAATCAGTAGATTCTAAACCTTAAGAGCAGAAGCTTTGCAATTCGTATTGAGTTCATCTCAATACACAACATTTTTGGTAGCTCTGAGATAAGCATGTCTAGTGCACAGCTGGACCGCCTCGCTGCCATCAAGCAGAGCACAACCAGCCCAGTAGGTCAGACAGGCTTTTGAAATGGGAAGAACAGACAAGCTTTCAAATTCTATAAAACAAAATACGATATATTAGAATAGCCATTAGATTCCCTATCCCTCAAGGGTTCGTATGATAGTCTGATGTTTCGTTTCAGATTTCTCAGGGAAAAGATCATTCTTAAGTGCTTTTGGCACCACCGAAACACGGCGATGAAACTGCTGCTCTGTACTGCTTCACGCTACAGTCACCTCATCTTTCTCACAGCAAACCTGTCTTCCAGTGGTGTATGAGCAAGAGATCTTTTGATTGGAAAAGCTGATACTGCATCTTTATCAGAAACAAGCACCAGAAAATGCAAGCCTTCAAAAGCCAAAGCGATCAAGAACGATAATGGTAAATCCTGGAGTGATGATTAGGGAGAGATTCAACACCGTGCCATTGATCGAGTGGTGATCCCAACCCACCACAGAAAAGCAATTAAGTCAGTTTTAAACAGAGTAATAAAACTCACACTGTGACGGTAGAAGGGGTCAACTTTTGTAGGGTATTTGTCAAACTGCAAAGGGATCAAAGCACAAACTAGTTACTTTCTATTTCGTTGCTTCATTTCTGTTGGTAACACAGACTAATTCCCTATTATTAGGCAACCAACAGAGAGGAAAAATACGCAGAAAATGAACTTCCAGTGAAGCTGGTTTGGGTTTTTCTCCCTTCAAAGTGTAACGAGGTCTTTATGAGCTGGGAAAACGGAGGAGGCACCAGAGTGCACCACTCCAACCACCAGGGATTCCCAGGCACGAGTGCCCCTTCGGCCAGCAGCCTCATCCCTCAGCCCCTGCGCTGCCACTGGCTCTATCACACACACAACAGCAGTAGGGAAAGGACCGCCCGTCCTGTGCTCCCCAACCACTCCTGGGCAGCTCTTTCCCCACCACCTGGCAAACTCTCAAATGTTCATAATAAAGAATAGAGTTGTGCTCTACTTATCCTCACATTTCTGCCTGGGGTACGCACCATGGGCGGTGCTGGCGTCGGCATGATGGCAGTGGGTGGGATGGCGTGAGGGAAAGGCGTGAAGGTGTGCTGGTGTGTGTGTTGGTGTGTGTGCTGGTGCTGGTGCTGGTGCTGGTGGAACTCGGTCCTCAGGTACGGCGGTGGGCCCAGCGAGGCCCCGCGATCCGCGCTCTGCGAGGCCAAAAACCGCGTGTTTAGTTCCTGACGGAGAAGATCTTGTTCTGAAACACAAAGCAAAGCAACCTCTGTCAGCTCAGGGACTTGTCCACACCTTGTGCCAACTTCTGCTGGCTGCGGTGGTGACGTTCTACATTGAGCTTCCTCACGGTAAAGCATGACGCTGCACAGATTAAGAAAGCTCCTCCAGCTCTTCCCCAAAGGCCACATTGAGAGAAGAAAGTCTCCAGTTCCCCTCTCTCATGGACCATGCCTTCACTTCAGTGTTCATCTGAGGCGCAGCGTGAAGGTTCTCCTTAAATTCCTGGACACATCCCTGAGCAGTGTGAGTAAGAACACTGGGAACAGAGAGGCCGCAAACACAGCTCCCCTACTTCATGGACAGGAATTATACTACCAAAGTGCTGCTCATCCTCAATATTCATCCCTCAGATCCCTCTCAGTGAGCTGGGAGAAACTGACATCTTCCCACAAAGTACAACAGAGCACAGTTCGCTCCACTGCTAGCTGCTCCCCCCAGCCCTGCACAAACCCGACCTCAGGACGCTGTGTGCATGGCCACCAGACTTCTCCCTGGCCAGGCTGGCTGCAGGGAAGCAAGGCTGAGCACAGACCACAGCTACAGCACAGACATCTGCCACAGCGTTCACAGATTTTGGGTGGCCCCAAATGAACTCTGAAGTGGTTTTGCCCTGGGGAGCAGACAGAAAGGCACAGGCTTCCAAAAATTCTTCATTCCCGGGGCAGAAGAGAAGTCACTGGGAAAGTCTGGGTGGTTTTTGCTTTTGACATCGACCCAAATCGTTCAGCGGCGAGTGACCCCTCTACCCAACCAGCAGCTCCCACAGAATGGACCCAAAAGGAGTTATTTTGACTACAACTGGAGATTGAGTTTCCTTTGCCACACTGGGGCCACGACCTGTCTGTCTCTTACCTGAGTAAGTGCTACCAGCTGGGTGTCCTGGAACCTGCAGGGTCCCTGACGTCAATGGAGGTGGAGGAGGCAAAGCCGTAGGAGGGGCAAACATATTGGGGTGATGTGGGTGTGCGGGGGGCTGGAGGGTGGGCGTGAAGGTATGCAGTGGGCTGTGGCTTGGTAAAGAGAGGGGGAATGGTGAGGCGGAGGGGTGGTGAGATATGTGTGGAGGGGGAGCCTGAGTCTTGGCAGGAGTGCTGCTTCTGCTGCTGCTGTTAACAAAAAGAAAAGCAATTAAGCACTGCAAAGAAGAGAGAAAAGCTCTAAAAGCACACATACTCTACCCCAATGTGCTATGCATGGCTCACGATAAACCTGCCACTAATTAAAGTAATACATTGCAAATACAAGTTATTATTCTGTTTTTCTATCAGTACCACCGAGACACTCCTTTCTTCAACCTCTCCCTCATCCAGCATCTCTTACTGCCTATGCTCCTTCCACACCAAAGCCCCAAGACATGTCTCCCTCCCTCTGAGAGGCTGGGATTCTGTCCTCAACAACAGAGGCACAGCACACAAAGGAGTAATCAGTTCTGTGCATTCATTACTTAATTATCGGGTCCTTTCTACATGACTGCTTCTGATTCATGTTTTCAGGCAAATGAAGCTCAACACCAGTGATTGCTACATTAATAAAAGTTTAATTTCTCTGCTATGACTTAGAAAGATGGAAGAGTGTGGAAAACGTGAAATGAAGTTGGGAAGGCAACAACAGATACATGCTTATTATTCTGTTAATGACTCTCCTTACCCCCACAATATAAAGAGAGTTGAATCAGCACAATAAATACACAGGATTATACTGGTTGCAATTTTTCAGGTTTCACTCCTTAGCAGGGAAAGTTTCCAGTATAATCACACAGTGCTTAATCCCACTTGTCGTTATTTCAAGTAACGACACGTTTACATTGCAGTGGCTTTTAAAGACGAGCAATACCAACTTGGTTAAAAATAAATCCAAGCCTTCAACAACTCCCAGTTTTAGTCAAACCATGAAGCAACCATCTACTGGTTCATCAGGTCAGGAAGGATGCCATGTGCCTGCTCAGATTCGGGGAAAGGTGAGGCACTGCTGAGAGCACTGTGTTGCCACAGGGGAAACCTGAGGTCTGTGACTTACAAAGACATCATGGGATCCTCTAACACGTTGCTTAATCTCCATTAATTTTGTTATCCCCCTACAAAAGGTGGGGATTATCTCTGTGTGGCCAACTGAGGTGAAAAACACTTAAGACTGCAAGGTGTTGTCAGTGCGGGAAGAAATTAAGCCCGAATGTCATCAGTGTAAGCCTATGCCAAGCTGTCAGCAGGGCTAACAGCAGCTGCACCGTATTTCTTGCCCCAGGGCATGTCAATAGTTGGGGAAAGCAGAAGAGGTTTACAGGGAGGCAAGGGTAAAAGCAGAGAGCCTTCAGAGAACAGCTCAGCCTGCAAGAATTGGGATTTTGTTCCACTGGTCTATGTTGCATGAAATCCCCTTCAAAAACCTGAGTGTGCAAGGACAGGCAGGAAAAGCAAAAGCAAATTAACACAGAGCTTGAGATTACCAAGCACTGCTGGGAACACCAGAAAATAAAGCGATTCTGGCTCATTTCAAGGAAGAATTTGAGGAAGAGGCCACAAATCCCCCTCAATTTCCCACAGATGGGGCGGGATGCGCTGTCACCTCTATCCTAGTTCCCCCTCCAGGCACCATAAAGCATCACCACCGGAGGCAGCAAGTTTGCAAAGAGATGTGGGCACACGCGGCTTTCTGCTCGCCTACCTTAAGCTGTTGAGGCTTAAACTGCTGCTGTTGTAGGCAGAGAGCGGCTGCGAGAGGCTCTGAGCGGCCGGATGGGGCTGCACTGCAGGGAGGTTGGGGTGGGCCGGCTGCACCGGGGACTGCGGCCGCGGCGGGTGCTGCACGGGAGGCTGCGGCGCGGGTGGACGGCTGGGTTCCTCCGGGGCTGGAGGCAGCTGTGCGGTCGGCGGTGGGGCTGGTGGGGCCGGAGCCTCCGGCCGTGGGGCGAGCGCGGGGCTGGGGCAAGGTACCTCCGGCTGCGGTTCCAGCTGGGGCTGGGCCAGAGGCTGGGCCACCTGAGGGCAGGGGTCTTTAGGCACCACGGGCTCAAGTATTGGGTCTTTGCTGCTGTCCTGGCTCTTCTCTTGGCTCCTCTCTAGTCCTGATATCTTCGGGACAGCTGGCCCCCTAGCACCAGGGTCGGCATTTTCAGCGAGCGTACTGACTCCTAACTCTTTATCTGCAACAAAACAGAGAGACAGAACAGGTGAGTGTGTGACTACACGGGCAAAACCAAGCACAAGCTATCTGCCAGAGCCGCACTCCAGGCAGACACATTTTGGTTTCATACTGAATTGAACCCAAACAGAAGCAATTTCCAGCGATGTCCCTAATCCTCACGTCCTTAATATTTCTTCTCCTATTGCACCATAACAAGAAAGTTTCTGTGTCTTCGTTAATGCATGAAAAAAGCAACTACACAAAACTTGAGCGCAGTGGCTCTAAAATCCTCCAGTCAGACCTCCCAAAAAAACACCGCATCTGTCTGAAGGCAGATGCCCTGAAGTGCTCGTTTTGTTTTGTCCTGTGCATTCAGCACAGCAGACACTGGGTTTGTTGCACTGGCCTCCCAGCTCACGTCTCCTCGGGATTCGTTTCCCACTCTGCCAGTGCAACCACTGATCATTAAAGAAAATGAGGCCGTTACAATAAACACGTGACTCCAAGACTGGGCTGTGCAACAGCCCCGATGAACTTTTGAGGCTGGGTGTAATCATCTGCATGTGTGTTTGGCCAAAGCAGTCTCCCTCAGTGACCATATAAAATGCAATGCAATTACATAGGGATACATGTACAGAGCTGGGAAAATCCCCAGGGGAGGGCTGTGCAGGATGCCCAGCATCACTCCCTGCCCAGGAGCACCTCTCTGCGCCATCTACACCTGTGCTTACCAACAGCACTGCTATTGCTTGGGCTTCCAAATGAGCAGAACAGACAGGTAGGGAAAATGCTATAATTTTGCCTCGATTTTCTTTTGGTGGCATTAATTTTGGAGACTGTTCTTTAGAAGAATGGCCAAAAAAGTTTGGAGGTGACATACTTAGTCCTGAAATACGTCTTCTTTAAAGACATGAGCCGGGCAGCCAGGCTGCATGTGTGTGCATCTGCTTCTCTCCTTCTTCCCCCAACAATTCTCCTCAAAATAAACCACCTGCTACCAAAGAGAAAGCCTGCTCACTACCATTATTTTCTGTCATTGTTCCTCTATCATCACTCCCTCACCAACCCACTGAGGGAGGAAATGCACTGTGAGCTCTGTGCCTTATTACACAAATTCTGAACATTAAAATGCTTACTGGTCGGAAGACAAGGCTCCCTTGGTTTGGCTGGCCACAGAGCGACTTGTTTGGGTCCTCCAGCTGTGTCTCTTTAATACTAATGACTGCTATTAAAATTATAACACTTGCTACGCTGGAGTTCTCCTCACTGGGGCTTCACAGAGACCTCCCACTTCAATCACACCTCCAAACTTCTGCCAACGAGTATTTGGTAGAATGGTTTGAGTTGGAAGGGTCCTTTAGGATCATGTAGTTCCAACCCCCTGCTACAGGCAGGGACACCTCCCTCTACACCAGGTTGCTCACTGCCCCATCCAGCCTGGCCTTGAGTGATTCCAGGCTGAGGGCATCCACAACCTCACTGGACAACCTGTTCATCTGATGAATGACATCCCTGTGAGCAAGTTCAGGGGAACGCTGCCAACACAGGGTTGGAAAAGTGAGCATCAGCAGCTGCCGTGGGAACTGGGAGCCTTATTTACGTCAATATTGCATAGCAATGGTGTAAAGCTGGACTTTCAGCTTTGGCAATTACAAATATGAAGCATATGGGAAACACACGAGATTTAAAGGACCCGGGGACAAGCACCCAGGTTTCCAAATAATCTTCAGACAGAAAAACTTCACTCATTCATCTGCCAGTGCTAAGGGATAAAATGAAGAAATGTAATAAATTAACACACAGTCAGCAAGAATTGTTGACGGCTGAATTGGTCAAACCTTGATGTGAAGGAGAACAAATATCTACAATGAGAAGTATTTCTCCAGGCCACACAGAAGGTACACAGCGTTTGCCAACCTGCCCATCACTGGAATTGTTGGAGAGGGCTGCGCAGGGATGTGTCAGAGACTCTTCCTCATTCGGGTTTCTCATGCAGAGAGCCCATCAAACTGTGCCAGGCCCGTTAGTAAGTGGTTTGCTGGCCCTGTACAACAGCAGCAGCCCGGTGGAGACTGCTTTAATGGCTCATGAATAGGAGATGGGACAAAAGGGAGCTGCAAGGGAGAACTGGGGAGAGACAAATGGAGTTATTTGACGAGGGCGCACTGTGGGAGTACTCAGCCTGTAATGAGCACCAGGATCTCCTTGGGCGTTTGGATCAGGCCACGGTGGCAACAGGGAGACTCCGGAGGAATAAAAATAATAACTCTGCTGTATGCCCCAGGTCTTTTTCATTGCAATTGTGTTGCAGATTATTGCATTCACTCTTCGGCTCAATCTTGTCTGATCAAACATTATTCTAAGTTAAAGACTGATCACTGATTGTGTTAAGACAGGAGCCCAAAGAGGAAAGAAATGAGCAATAGTTTGTTGAGAAATAGTTTCCTAGACCTTACAGGCTTAAGAATGATGACATTTTGATTTTTGACAGAAAGGTGCAATAATTAGGGCTTTGAGGGCCTCGTTTAGTTATCAGAAATTCCCTTCCAGTTGAATACAGTAGGTGGGGTGGTCTGAAAACTCAGCTGAGGTGATGCTTCTGAAGCTACAGGGAATACCTCGTGCTTGGTGCGATCATTAAGTCTTTCCATTTGATATCTTTAGTGTCTCTGGTGTGGATAAGATTTATTCAGCACTACTCGCTGCCGGGAATTCAGTTCCTCCTCCCCTGGAGAGAAGGGGTGAGGAATCCTATCATCTCCTGGGTACTCTTTGCTGCTGCTTACATCTTCATTACACAGCCCCTTAAGCACCGTTCCTGTTAGTTCATGGCTTAGAAGATGCTGCATTCAGTAACATAACACTATTCCAAGTGTCAAACCCTGAACGTGTGCACACCTTCCCCCTCCCTCTTACCTCTCTGCATCTAAGCATCCACCCCACGACGCTAACAGATGTCCTGCAGCCTCTCTGAGCCTTGCATATTCTCCACATGCATCCCTGATAATTATGCTACATGAATAAGAAAGAATTCCTCATCCCACAACTTTTCTTTTGGGAGCTGAAATCCCACATCAGTGATGAACACAACCAACCGTGCGTTTCGTATGCAAGGCTCAAGTCCTCAACAACAATACTTCACAGCCATAAGTACACCATCACTCTTTTCCTACCAACACATTACTTATGAGTGCTGACTGACTCACAAAAACCAAGGGGAAAATGTCCTTTGTGCACCCACGACAAGCTGACTTCATTTGATGGCAGTCTCCATACTCTGTTTTGGATAAATAACTGTGATGTAACTTCTGTGCTGGCAAAGGCTCCCCTTGTTCCACTGGGCTGCTATTGCATCCAGCAGCAGGCAGTCTTTTAACTGAGAAAGGAACAAAGCCACAGTTCCATGTTCTTTGAAGAATGAAGAAAAACGCTGGCTGAGCTCGTACCACCCAGACAGCACATGCAGCTTCCATTATCTTCCTTTCCTGTTTTGCCCTCTGATGTGTCTTAAATCTGAAATTCCTCTGTTTTTCACTTAACACACAAAAAGTGGGGATCACACAAGATGCAGGGCTCGGTCCCCTCCAAGTAACACAAGTTATCCCTTGCTGTGTCTGCGTGGTTATTGTTTGGTTCGGTAGGAGCAGACAAGGCCACACTGAAGTCCTCCAAGCAAACCAAATGACCGCAAGGGAACTAGAGGGACTCATCCTATGGAAGTGCAGTGAATACACACACACACACACACACACGTGCACTCCAGTGAGTCTGCATACATGTATGTCACGTGTAATACGTACACACTTGTTTTCCAACCCAGATCTGTTATATGCATACATACAGATAACAAAGAAATACACCGTGCACACAAACACTTCCATAGAAAGACATGGATTTTTATGAAGAACACAGGTTATATCCAGCAAACACCTGACATGCCGCTGTCTGTCTGCACAAGGCACAGTAAAATTTGACCCACACTCTGTGTTCTGGCTCCTTTGTACCACATAGGTGATCCAAAAGAGCTACAGGATGGCCAGGGGCAGCCATTGGGAACATCACAGCCACACAACGAAGCCCTAAGCATTCTTCAGCCAGCACAAACACCTTGCTGAAATTCACCACATTTTACATTCCCAGAGGTTCACCAGTTCAGTGCACACACTACTTCTCCCTGATCAGGTGTTGTCTGCAGACAGGTTCTACGTTTGCAACCGAAGACCAAATCTGCTAGGCTCCAAGCAGGCTGCTCCCCGAGTGGCAGCTGAGCACACACGAATTGGGCATCTCTGACCTGACTGGGCAGGCCTTGGGAATGCAGTCCTTAAACATCAGTCGTGGTGCTGCCAACACCAATTTAGAGGCCAAATGTTTATTTTTGAAACCCAAAGCATCCACCTTTTCCATGCACAGCTTGCTTTGGAAACAAGAACACACAGCACTCAGCCCCTACTGCTCCCCTTCACATCAAGATTCATTCTTTCCACTTCTGCTTCAGGTCATCTTGAGAGAGCAATTCAGAATCAATACTGACTCTTCTAGAGGATGCTGGATAAAGCTCAAAAGTCCTTCCTGCAGAAGTATGAAAACTATCAGAGTTTTCACTCTCTTGCACCTGCCTGTGTGCTCTTTGGGACTGAGCATTCAGCCTACCAAGGCAATCTTACATTTTTGTAGCATTATTAGATTTAAGAACAGCACGTGTTTTCTTCTGCTTCTTCAGTACGTTAAGCTCTGCTCCTTACAATATAAACTGTCTAGCCAAGATTTTCTGGTAACTTATTTATGCAAGATAAAAAAACACACCTTTCAGAAAGCATAAAATGAATTGCTTTGGTTGTAACACGGCGGTTGGTGCAGATTATCTCAACCAATACAAGCTGCCCTAAGTTCTCTGAAGTCAATGGGACGCAGAGAACGAACACCCTGCTGACCGCCAGCCTTGGGATGTGTACTTCCACAAGCATCCTACATGGCTTGGAATAATTAATCAGATGTAAGTCCTGACTGTACATTTCA